GGGGGGGGGAGGGGGGAATGTATTACTACATTGTTTGTTCTTGGTAATTTTACCCGTCAGGCGGTTTAAGAAAACTTAGAAATTAACCTTGATCAAACGGTTCCAAAGCATGTTGAAGATGTATAATTGAAGGGAATAGAGTTCAAGAGCAAGTGAATATCATCTATGCCATTGAGTTTTAGACTTAAAAATTTTACACTTCCAATTTAAACCATATAATCTTTTGATCAAGTAAAAGTGTAAAAGTAATGAAGTACCTTCCATCCTTTGGGAATGATGTAACCTTGATAGTTCAAATCTACTAGTGCTTCTCTGAAACTTCCAGTGATTGGTGATGTTAGCCTGAGAACTTCAGACACTACATCCCATGTATGCTTCATCTTCTGTATATCATCCCAATTCAAGTATTCCCTTACCTCTTTTGATGTTGCAATCTCCTTTTGTTCTGTTCTCATTATCAAGACAAATTAATAATACAACTACTTTCATCGGGAGAGCTGTCCCAGGCCATCATAATATAATTAAACAAGTTAATTATAAGCCTTATTTTAACGTGATATTAGAGTAGATAAGAAGTTTTATCTTCGAATTTCACTACCACCCAAAAAGAAAAAAGTTGTATACGGTGAAATCGGAGAGCCCAATTTCTCGACATCGAGGCACCTCAGAAAATCATCTCGAAGTCTCGAGGCTACAAGGTTATGATCGAGTCTCCTCCCTCGAGGTTCGTCGAAGCCCGATCTTGGGACAACGTTGACCTCGGCCACGGTAGAAATGGGGAGTTCCCAAGGCACGTGGCTAGGACTGACAGGACTACCCTAACCCTTAATCAGTATGTCTTCTAGCTGTCTCATCTCCGTTTTTTTTTATCATTAATGTATTTTGTACTATGTTGGGATTCCCCTCCTATATAAAGGGAATCCCTATCATTTTATAAAGGCCTGTTGCTTCGGTTGCATCACACGAAATAAACAAGAACTCTCTATTTGCTCTCTAACATATTCTCTTGATATTATTGCTTCTATTTATTATCTTCATATTCATTCATCATTTATCGCTTATCATTAGCCATAAAGAGCCTTCGTTGATTTTATTATAACTGTTAGCCACATTTTGACTGTCTTCGATAGCTCTCAGTCGAGCTCCGGAATCGATCTCGAGGCCCTAAATCGACAAGCTCGAGGCCCCGATAACTGACCTAAAGGTTCGGTTATCAGCCTATCCTTAACCCTCATTTCGTTTCTAAGTCTCATGTACATAGCATAAACTATTTAACAACCAGCATAAAAATAGATCACGTATTTTTAGAGTCCCATAATCAAATTTAATTGTTATTACCATTTTCACGGTAAATAGTTTGGCACCCACCGTGGGGCTAAAAATAATACTGATTATTTTCTTGCTGGTTTAGCTACACAACGCAAGTTATCTTTCACGCTTTTTCTTGTCCAAGATCCTCGATTGCAGGTCAAAATGTCTAACTTGGTGAATGGAGGTGAAAGCAACAATCTTGAGGACCACGGAGAAAACGGTGTGGATGTTCCAGGTATTGGTGTGCCACCACAAAACCCTGGGAATGCGCCGAAACCGATCCCCGTGGACGCGGTCTCACGTGACACCCAATGGGTCGATATAAGCTTGCATACCGATAGGAGTGTGCGTCAAAGAGATCCACAAGAAGCTCAGAAAACCCCAACTAGGGAAGAACGTGAGGTTAGCCTTCATGTTATTTTTGAAATGTTGCATGCACAACAGCTAGCTATTGCTCAGCTGCAAAGTCACCAGAAAACTCCTAGCATGGTAGCACCAGGGACAGCTCCCCCAGCCAAACAGGTACCGGAGAGATCAAGCAATAACGGGTCTATAGCCGACCCTGTCATCATAAAAATGCTCGAGGACCTCACCAGGAGAATCGAATCAGGTGAGAAAATTATAGAAGCCAACGACAAGAAGGTCGAGACCTACAACTCCAGGGTCGACCAAACCCCGGGCGCACCCCTGGTTCTGGAAGGTATGGATTCGAAGAAGTTCGTGCAAAGGCCGTTCCCAGAGGAAGCGGCTCCAAAACCCATTCCAAAGAAGTTCAGAATGCAAGAACTCCCAAAATACAACGGGACCTCAAACCCCAATGAGCAGGTTACTGCTTACACTTGCGCAGTGAAGGGCAACGACATAAAGCACGACGAGATCGAGTCCGTCTTACTGAAAAAGTTCCGAAAAACACTCTCGAAGGGGGTCATGATGTGGTATCACAACCTAGCTCCCAACTCCATAGACTCATTTGCCATGCTGGCAGACTCCTTCATAAAGGCACATGCTGATGCCATCAAAGTAGCAACGAGGAAGTCTGACGTGTTCAAGATCAAGCAGAGGGAGAACGAAATGCCGCGAGAGTTCGTATCTCGCTTCCAAACGGAACGAATGGAACCACCACCAGTCTCTGACGACTGGGCGGTGCAGGTCTTCACTCAAGGTCTGAATGAATGAAGCTCGGTGGCTTCGAAGCAGCTGAAAGAGAATCTGGTCGAATATCCCGCCGTGACTTGGTCGGACATCCACAACCGATACCAATCAAAAATTAGGGTCGAGGACGAACAGTTGGGAGCCCCCTCGGGCTCAGTATACCCAAGTAGGCTCTTGGCAAATGAGCCAAAGCCAAGCAAAGAAAGATATCAACCATACACCGAAGATAGAAGGAACACCCCAAGGCGCAACCCACCTCGCAACGATCGAAGGATAGTCCGAGGGCAAAATCCTTGGGGGCTCATCAACAGAGCTGGATTCGATAGGAATGCGGGGCCAACAGAGGCGCCTCGCTTAACAAAGTACAACTTCAACGTCGATATGTCAGACATCGTGTTCGCCATCAGCAAAATCAGAGACGCCAGATGGCCCAGACCTGTACAATCGGATCTTTCACAAAGGAACTATAATCTAGTATGCGAGTTTCACAACACGCACGGACACAAGACCGAAGATTGCCGGCAACTCTGGGAGGAAGTGGCCCGGTTACTCGACAATGGCCATCTTCGGGAATTCCTTAACGACCGAGCCAAAAACCAGTTTCGAGAAAGGGAAACAACCAAAAAGAACAAAGCAGACAAGTCGCAACATGTCATCCACACGATCTTTTGAGACGACCGCCACTAGCCGAAACACCAAATTCGCCTCCAGTAGAGGGACTAAGAGATAAATCGACGAAAAAATAGCAGCCGCGAGACACACCCTCGGTTGTATCCGAATAAGGGACCATACCACATCCTCCAAACGAATTCCAAGGCGCCCGACCAAAGCAGTCAAAACATTGACCCAACTCAAAGACCTTAAGATTTTAAAGCATCTGTTGCACTCTTTTCCTTCGACCGAGTTTCATCCCGAGAAGGGTTTTACCGGCAAGATTTTTAACGAGGCAACATCTATATGCTACCTTAGGAAAATCCAACAAGTATTCAAGGCTTCTTTTGAAATCAACCTCGAACACTAGGGGGAATCCCCCTCGGAAGGCCATCCGCTCGAAAAAGCCAAAACGCCAAATAGGGTCCCAATAGGAAAATGATGTACTGAGCCAAACACTCGAACGAACCGTGTCCGTATAGCCAGGCCCCCGATACCAAAAATACGTACACTTGTACCAAAAAATTGAAGAATATCTTTTATCAAAGCATCTCGCACTCCAAAAGAAGCTCGGCACCTCCGCAAAAATGACTTCTCCGCCAAAAACGTCCCAAATACTCGGGGACTGGCGTCAATAATTCAACACCTGAATGACCTTCGGGTCGAGACTCCAAGCTCATAAGCCCTCAATGAGGCAACATGAAAATCATGAAATGTCTCCAAGGCCGAAAGTGCCCCGAATACTTGGGGACTGGCGTCAAAATCTCAAAAAATGCACGACCTCAGGGTCAGGATCTCCGAAATTATAAGCCCTCAATGAGGCAATACAAAATTTACAAGTAACGACTTCCGAGCCTAGGTACCCTCGATGACTCGGGGACTGTCGCCAATTACCATTCATTAAAAACCGAGGTCGTAAGACCCCAAGTGGGTAGACTCGATCTCGTAAGATCTACGTAAGGCAACAACAATATCTATAAGACCTCAAACAAGGCATGAACCACACTTTTACCAAGTGACAATATCTGTAAGACCTAAAGCAAGGCATGAACAATACTTGTACTAACTATCCAAAACTGTAAGACCTCAAAGACATGTAAAACTTGTAAGACCTTACTAAAGGCATAAACCTGATCTCAAAGTTTCGGCTATATATTGAACTTGTAAGACCCCTAAAAAGGCATACCCTCGATATAGATGCCGAAACTATCTCATTCGGGAATCAAAGGCTCTGGCCGAACACAAATGACTCCGGTAACACGGTTGTACCAGCCGAACTAATGCGACTCGGGGATGCTCGACCATCGCTACAAAATCACATTCCTTCAATTACTTCGAATCTACTTCGAAAAGAACCAGTTAAATAGGCTACCCTCGATACAGGCAAAAGAGCTTCGACCATGTCAGCTCCTAAACATCGGCTTTGAGATACTTAGCCTCCGAGCCAAACCTCCCGAGGTGCTCGATCATCGTCATATAATGACTCATAATCGAGGTTTTTTATTAAGCCATCGAAGAGTCAGGAAAACATTATTTATCTTTATCGAGGGAAAAATAAAGCCTACATAAATGGTCGCATCGACCAAACGCGTAAGAGCCATTGTCGCCAGCCTAATGAGCCTCAGGGACACACACATAAAAGGTCGCTTCGACCTAAGGCGCAAGAGCCATCGTCGCCAACCCACACAAATACAAAACTTGAGGGTCGAATGAGCTCAAACCGTAACCCGATTCAGAGACTGAACCCAAAATAGTTGACTAAATATGCCTAAGAGCAAGGCGTAAGAGCCATTGTCGCCAACCCACACTAAAAAAGGCCGCACCGGCCCAAGGAATAAGAGCCATTATCACCGGCCCACATAAAAGGTCACATCGACCAAGAACGTAAGAGCCTACGAGCCAACCCAACGAGACCCAGGGCCGTATCACGAATCTAAAGATTCCTACCAACTTAAAAGTCGATTGATCTGGCCGAAATCTCGGCAAAGAGGAACCCGGAAGATACAAAAATTGCGAGGTTTCCCCCTTGTACATACATGTAATAAAATACAAACTCCATTTACAGCATACTGTGGAAGCACAATATACAAAGACAAAGAAAGAAAATAAATGTCCCCCTTGGGGACTATGGCCCGACGGCCCCGTCCCGCCATCTTCGGCATCGGACAGAAGGACCTTGGCATCATACTCCTCCACTTTAGCTTGCTCGATCTCCTCCAAAATATCGAAACCCCTGGCATGAACTTCCTCGAGAGTTTCCTTCCGAGATTTGCACTTTGCGTACTCTTTACTGCTGCTCGCACGAGAATCCACCTTAGCTCAGCTCTAGTAGTGGTAGCACTCTTCAAATAGGCCGCCGTTTTCTGATCCGTCCTAGTGCTGCTCATCACAGCCTCAGCCCGGGCATTCACCACCTTGGTCTTCGCCCTTAAAAGCTCAGACTCGAGCCTTGCGATCATGTTCGCCCGCGCAGAATCACTCGCACGAACAGTCCGGATTTGCATTTCCAGGGTGGAAACTTTGGCCAAAGCACTCTCCTTGGCCGCAATTTGGGCATTTACATGGGCCTGCAGCTCATCGAACTAACATATGACCCTGCCAACTTCGCCCTAGAGTTGTTCCAACTCTTCCGTTTTGCTCTCCAACTGAAATATCTAAACATTAACCTTCGAAAATGGAAGAAGGATCATACGTCAACACGAAATACAAGATACCTGTCTCTCGAGGTAGCTCTCGAAGCCCCGGCTTCGATCCGCCTCACACCGCAGGGATACCAGCTCGCTTCCTTTTTTCACACAAAGAAGCTTAAGGGATTTCTCCCTATCTGACGCTTTCCGCAACCGAACCTCATAGCGAAGTAGCTCAGATTTGAGCCTGTCAAAGGCCTGCGAAAGAAAATCCAATGAGAAAGGTAGAGTGTGAAACCGGAATAGTCCTATACTGGTTACCAAACTTACCATAAAACCGAGCCGCTGAGCCTCACCGAAGACCGAGCCATGTCCGATGGCTTAGTGTCCCCCGAAGCGCCTTTGTTAGGAGAAGAAGAAGGCACTACATGCTTCTCACTCTTTGAAGCGCCATCAGCAGAAACGGGGAATGTTCTTTCGAGAACGGAAGCCTCCGAAACCAAATGATCGGTCGAATCGCCTCTCTTGAACTGCTAAGAAGGACTCACCCCGCTACAAGCTTCCTCACACCTCGGAGATCCTTTCCGTTTATCATCGACCCTCGACCTCGAGGTCGGCAGTCTCTCCTCCTCCCCTAGAGGGCATGGCCTCATCTGAGAGAAATCTCCAATACCTGCGGCGGCTAAGTTAGTATGCTAAAAAGAAAAGTACCATTTTGGGGAAACAAGCCATCAAGTTCCTACCATGATGCTTTGCCTCCCATCTCCCCTTGGACAGGTCTTGCCACCTACGCTTATCATAGGTCGAGCAAGCGGCCAATTTACGAGACCACTCGGCCAAATTCGGGACCTCGCTTGGCAACCAAGGAGCCGCTACAAAGAAATGAAACAGAAAAGTGTCGTTATGGAGCCCGCCTCCAGACAAAACCATAAAAATACAGGTATGACACCTACGTGTGAAATTCCATTTCTCAGGAAATCGAAGAAACTCTCCAGGAATGATATTGATCGTTTGTGCTCGAATGAATCAGCTCATCCATCCTCGGTCTTCGTTCTCTTTACCATCAACGATAGGAGACCGTGTAGATCGATGCTGCAGAGTAATCAAACCCCGATAACATAGCCACCGATATAACCTCATGAGATGACTGAGGGTAAAGTCGAGCCCCGCCTTCTCTACAAAGTATCTTATCGTCTGCACTATCTTCCAAAGGGACGGGTGAGCCTGCGCCAAGGTAACCTAATATCTCTGACAGAACTCGAGCACGACCCGGTCGGGGGGACCCGACATAAAAGTGTATGTATATATGCTCAGAAACCCATCGACGTAGGCCATGATGCTCTCCTCAAAGGAAGGTACTTGTAGCACCACTCCTTCTCCCCATCCGCAATCTTTTCTAATCATTTCGAGGTGTCCTCCCCTACTGATGAGATGAACCTCGTGCATGCTCTCAATGTCCTTAAACGTTGGAAGGTCTCTCCAACGTAAAGTCTTTCCTCGAGACAAAGCACCTCAAGGCCCGCTCACCGGGTAGCGGCGGTGTACCACCGACCAGATGTGAAACAGAAGTAGAACTCCCCTCTACTTGATGGGAGGATATCAACGTAGCAGTCATGGCTACGATAAAATAAGAGGAGGAGAATATAGATTTGGGGAAAGAATTTGAGTTGAAACAACGGGAGAACTAGCGCAAAGCACCAAGCTCTATGGAAGAAATAGTTACTCAGAGTAATAGAATCTCTACTGAGGAAGCAAGTGAATGAATATATAGGGGCAAAGCAGCGATTGCTAGCCTACCCATAAGGCCAATTAATCCTGGCCATGGTAACGTCACTTTTTCCTTAGGAAATGTACTGGCGAGACCACCCGGGATCACCCCGGGGCCCCCTTTATCAAATCACATGAATACTACTACCCCACGAGAGTCGAGAGGTATCGAGACCTCGGAGGCTTCTTGCCATCACAAGCATCGGCCCCAAAGAAGCTATCAACCTAAATTCGATATAGGACCCGATTTCAGGGGTCTCGATTACTCCAACAATGGGCTCCAAAGGATTAATATTACAATTCAAAGATTAGCTCCGCCAGAGTAGCAATATATAAAGAATGGAAAGACTTGGGGCAGAAAAACCCTTTTTTCATTGCCAAAATATATTTACAAGAGACGTCTTTACAAGACTCACTCCCTTGGGAGTACATGCACAGAAAGAAAAAGAAAAAAGGGGGAAAAGCGACACAAGGCCTACTCTTCATCGCCACTATCCTCCGAACCATCTCCAGGATCAAAGTCTGGGATGATAAAAAACACCGACTTTCTCTCTAATTCTCGGGCTTCCTCAATCTCGGTCGAAAGATCGACACCTCTGGTTCCGACCCCCTCCAAGTCTTCCCTCATCGCCTTCGCTCTAGCATGCTCGATAGCCTGTGCCAGTTTTTGCACATCCCCTATCAATATCTTACGGGCTATTTGATTCGTTGTGGCTGCGTCCTGTAGTTAAGTGGCAACCTTCCCTTCGATCTCGGACTTGGCCGTAGTCAGCGCAACAACCTCCTTTCGAGCATTTTGGAGAAGATCGTGGGTCGATGCCAACTCCGAGGCAGCCACCTCGTTTTGTTCCTTTAGCCTGAGGATCTCCACATCCTTTTGCCCAATCAGCGAATCCCTTTGATCGATCTACGAAGGGAAAAGTAAACCAGTCAGTATTGAATTATGGGAGCAAATGAAAGACTCATGCATAACAAAATACTTGCTCGACAAGGGCGGCCTTTTCTCGGAGTGCTCCCTCCAAAGTAGCCCGGAGCTCGCCTGACTCTTTCTCCTTTCGGGCGGAACGGGCCTCCGACTCTCGCAGTCTCAGGGACAGCCTCTCAAGCTCCTTTTCGCGGCATGAAAGCTCCTCGTTAAGCCTGGAAAAGGAATGATCATACATCTCCTTACACTACAGCAAAACAGAAGAGTTAGAAGAATGAAGAAAGATACTCGAGACTAAAAGAAATATACTTAAAGCAACTATCACCTGCTACATGAACCTCTCCGCTGCCTTGACAGAGCCAGGAGCGTCAAGATCGACGTTCCCGCTAACATCGTCAAGAATATGTCCAGGCGTGCCTCCCCCTTGAAAGGACCCCCGACTTTGGCGGCGTTCACATCTTGAGCATCCCTTAGTTCCCCTGACGAGAACTGAAAACCTGAAATGAAATCATCTATGTCACCGATGTCTCCGAGGGGAAACTCCTGCTCCTGAAAAGCTCCGGGCTCGACCCTTCAGGGTCAGCGGCAATGTTCCCCCAATGGAAATTGTGCCGAGCTCGGTCATGGGATCCGAGGCCACATTGACACCCATCTCGAGCATCTTCGAACTACGGGACCAACCTGAGCCGGTCGTTCTCGATTCAGCAGCCTCCGGTCGAGGAACCTGCGAGGCTCCCGCTCTCGACCTTGTCCTCTGTGCCAACCGGCACTCGTTATCATCATCATCATCCTCATCCTCAGCACCGGGACTTGCTCTGGAAGTTGAAGCCGAGGTCCTAGTAACGGCTCGATGCTCAAGTGACTTGGGTTTCTTTGCCATGGAAGGATCGGCAGCCGCCTTAGCTTTCCTCTTCTTGCCTTTGCCGGGCTCCGAAGCCTCCATCTCGCCATCAGGGGGCGACCTCATTAGCATATTCTCGCCAAGGCCTACACGAGTGCAGTAACCATAATTTGTCAGCACAAAAGATACAGGGAGAAATGTAAATCTAAGACATAGGTGGTAAGGAAGCTCTACCATGATTCTTGGCCACCCATCGCTCCTTAGCCAGGTCGGACCAAGACCGAACAAGATACGGGAACGCAGTGTCCAACAGTTTGATCCACCCCAGTAAATTCGAAACCGCTTCGGGGTACCAAGCGGTGGCTGCAGGAAACAGAAAGAGGTCATTATTCTGGAAGAAAGGAAAGAAAATCACAAAACATGACTAAGGGAAAAATGCTTACGCTGTGTGTTCCACTTCTCAGGGAAAGGCATCCTCCCGGTCGGAATGATGTTCGAGTTCCTCACCCGGATGAACCTACTCATCCATCCTCGATCCTTTCCCTCGTCAGTGCTCGATAAAAATAATTTTTTGGATCGGTGGTGAAGCCTGATCAAACCTCGATAAAATCGAGGGCTATACAACCTAATCAAATGGTTGAGGGTAAAGGTCTCGCCCGCAACCCCTTCGGTGAAATGGCGAAGCATCAAGACTATCCTCCATAAATAAGGATATATTTGACCGAGCGTCACTTGATATTTGTCACAAAAATCAAGGATAACCGGATCTATCTCCAGGGGAGAGGATTTAGAGGAATCGATAGGACCCAAAGTGAACGGGTAAGTATACCCATGAAGGAAGCCAGCCTTGTGATCCGTTATATTTTCATCAGGGCTGGGAATCTCCGCCTTCACTACCTCGTTCCATTGGCAGTCTGTCTTTACCGTCTCCATGTTGGTCATGACATTAATGTATCGGGACACGTGTTCACATCGGCCCGGTGTGGATGAAGTGGTATCGATGGTAAAGTCCTTCGATTTTAAATTTTAAACAAGTTAATTATAAGCCTTATTTTAACGTGATATTAGAGTAGATAAGATGTTTTATCTTCGAAGTTCACTACCACCCAAAAAAATAAATTCTACGTGTTAGAACCATAAAATCTGACATGCCCCACACGTGAGGTGTCATGTTAAGACATTAAGGAGTCGTTTGGTTGAGAAACAATTTATCCCAGGATTAATTATCCCAAGGATTGTTATCCCATTCTCTTATAGGGATAAAAATAACACTACAATCTCGGGATAACTAATCCGGGATATTAGTTATATCGTGATTTTATCCCGACCAACTATGAGATAAACTCATCTCTCAAATTTTATCCCGGGATTAATTATCTTTCATCCCTCGTATCGAACGAGCCTTAAGTTATTAAAAATGTGACCTAATTCTAACATCTTTTGTGTGTCGACCAAAACAAGAAGGAGGAATAAGTATAAGGGATTGTGTAGCATGGAATGAGGCAACTATTGGGAAATATATTTGGGATATAATTCATAAGACTGACTCACTATGGGTTAAGTGGATTAACCATATCTACCTCAAAAATGTGGATTGGTGGCAATACAATGTAGCAATGGATAGTAGCTATAACTGGAAGAAAAATTGTCATGTTAGAGATAAACTGGCAGGAGGCTATGTTCATGAGGGATGGCAGTCAGCTACAGGGAAGTATACAATCCAAAAAGGATATGCACGGTTGAAGGGAACTCTGGACAATTGCCAATCAGGAAGATGAGTCTGGAGCAAACAAAACATGCCAAAACATAGCTTTATATGCTGGTTGACTATGCAGAAAAAGCTACTTACAAAGGACAGGTTGGTGCGTAGAGGCATATGTGTTAATGCATTAGAGACTATTGAACATTTATTCTATGACTGCCAATTCTCAAGAAGATGCATAACTACAATACTACAGTGACTAAAGGTCAGAATTACAAACGTTGAAGGACAGCTCCTATGAAGAAGAGTAGCAAGGAAAATGGGAGGCGAGCTAAGTAGAGAATTTGCTTTTGCAGCCTTGGCAACGACTACCTATCATGTGTGGAAAGGGAGGAATGAAGCCTTATGGTAGAGTTCAATCCCTAGACCGCACAGAGTATGTGAGCAAATCAAAGAAGAATGCAAAGTTCGAATGATGTGAGAATAAGGGCAAGGATAGAAGATGGCTAGAAGATATATATAGATAGACAGATAGGGGGTAGGAATATATATACATGTACCGTTCTTTATATAGGTAGAAGTTAGAGTGAGCTACTTCATTGTTTTCTTTCATTGTATTCCCTTTCGTTGTACTTGTTTTGGAGATGAATAAATTTTTTCATTCCACCAAAAAAAATTCTAACATCTTTGAACTTTTAGATGACACTTCAATACTCTTATATATATTCACATTTTTTGGGTGGAGAGGGGTGGGGTGGGGTGGATAATTACACATGATATACTGACCTTGCAAAACTTTGTCGTAAACATGAGGCAACTCTCCAAGATACTTCATCACCAATGTTAAAGTAACACTGGTAGTATCATGGCCAGCAAAGAGCAGCAACAGTATGTTATTTGCTAACTCCAGTTCAGACATGAATTTACCGTTCTCGTCCGGAAATAGAAGCAAATGTGACAGAAGATCTTGGGGAGGAGAAACTAATAATTTCTGTTCTAAGGCCTCTCTTCTCTGCTTGACAATCAAGATGAGTTCTTTCCGTATGGCATTTGTTGCTTTCTTTGCATGATAAAATCTCGTTCCAGGGAAATTCAGAGCCACTGATAAAACTCCTTTCAAGAAAATATTGAACAGATTGAAGAGATTTGATATGCGATTTGTGTCTTCTAGGCTCATGAATAGGCGACATGCCAAGTCAAAGGTGTGTAACTTGATAGTTGGGAAGACTTTCAACTCCTCTTTACCTTCATGTAGACAAATAAACTTCAACATTTGTATCCATATATACATTTGGGGCCCGTTTGGCCATAAGGAATTTTTAACTTTTTTTTTCGAAAAATTTTCACGTTTTCTCGGAATTAGTGTTTGTTCATGAAAATTTCAAATTTTACTCGAAGTTAAATTTCGGAATTTTTCATGAAAAACTCCAAAAATCTATTTTTCAAAATTTACTCACAAAAATTCAAATACAGGTCCGAATTGTATTCATGTCCAAACACAATTCTAATTTTTAAATACCATTTTTACGTAAAAAAAAAATTTACTTTTTTTTTTGGGAAATTTTACAATTCTTATGTCCAAACGCCCACTTAGCATTGAATTCGAGAAATTCAACACGTGACATTTAGTCTAATTAAAGGTAACATATTACGAGAACTAAAAGTGAACATCAGCTCAAATGCCCTCAAAGTAACGTATACTAGTGGCCAATATTGCAAATGAAGAATTGAAATGAGATTTCAGAAGTATTAACTCTACGAAAAAACCTCACAGATTTTCAATATCTCTAATCATTAACTTTGGATACTGGAATGTTGTAAAGCGAGTTATTAAAGCATTTTCAAACTACAACAATTTCACATTCAATATTTTGTTGTTGAAGTTTTGTAAACTAAAGCTCTTCAAACTATATAAGAATCTTATATATATACTCAAACATTTAATATCTAAAAAATCAATCTTGATGAATCTATATATGAATTTTTTTTAGATAATTAAGTCTCAAAGTATATTTCAGAAAGCATGACCTTGTCAAACTTTTTAAACACCTACTATAATAATGATATAATTGCCTATGAAATATTTTACTTATCTTTTGCTTTGGTTAGTTGAGGTCCTCCAACCGTCCAAGTGAGACACACATGTCACGTCCTTAGTTGTTAACTAAGTACACGTGTGACACTTGACAACTCGCTCACGATCTTGCACAACTTGCTCACGTTCTTGCTATGTCAAGTCAGCCTTACTACACTCAAGATCGCTAAGAGAATGGAAGAAAGAACACAAGAGAATTGTTAAAGGAGGCTTTGTATTAGAGATAACTTGAATTGTTTGCTTGATTGATGAATTACAAATGAATGGCCCCCTTTATATACTAGTTTCCTAGGGGCTAGTGCGTAAATATTAATTATTACACAAGTCCCTGATATTTACAAGATAAAGGCTTTTTCTAAAATTCTCTACAAGCCTAGAAGATTCCAAGGACTTTCCTAGCAAATCCATAAGGATCTAGGTTCTTCTTAAGGAAATGTCCATACCTCTCTAGAATCTTCTCACAAATGCTAGTCTTCTTCTTATGTAAGCTTCCACATGGCATTAATATATGCCAAATGGCGCCTATGTGGCATGATGACATGGCGGGTCATCACACTCTCCCCCATCTAATATTGCGACGACCGCGGCGCAATGCTGTTGCATAAACTCTTGGATCTTATCTTTGAATTGCCACAAGTCTTCATATCGTTCCCACATGGCCTCCTCCAGTGATTGCCCTTTCCAATGGACGAGGAACATAGTGGTGGCTTTTTGCCCTTGTTTTCGCCTGGCTTGGTAATCTATGATAGCCTCAATCTCCCGATCATGCGAGGCGGTGATAGTCATTGGCGCTCGACTTGATTGGCCCCTACTCGGATCATCCTTATCTTCATGATATGGCTTAAGCATGCTAGCATGGAAGACATGGTAGATCTTAAGATACGATGGCATGTGAAGCTTGTATGACATCTCGCCTACCTTGGCGATGATCTTAAATGGCCCCTCATACTTGCGAATCAAATTCTGATGCANCCCGACTTGTGGTAAGTAGTAGATCGTCTTCTATCCAAAACCGTCTCGTCTTGCCTTTGTTGGCTAACTCGATAAGCTGTTTGGCTGCTAGATCATGCTGCATGCCTTCTTTTATAGCCTCCC